TACTAAATTAAAAAAAATAATCTTCAGTGGCCACTAATATTAAATAAGTTTATAAATTTTCTCAGATAAAACTATTTGGTAATCTATAGCATAAATTTAAAGCTGAATAATGGAGCATAATACAATTTATTAATAAAATTAATTTATGCAATCATACATGCCATTAGCTGCCGCATTATTATAAATGGCAAATTTATTCCTGATCGCTCGTTTTGTCGTAATATTATTATTAGTTGACTTTAAAGCTTAAAACTCATTTAAAAAATTTGGAAAGAAATACCAATATGCCTGCACAAGCTATAAGTATTTGTTTGCCATATGATTAATTTATATTAAATTGATTCATATGCTAAAATTCAAAGTTAATATTTTATTTTTATCATATGCTAAAATGCAAAGTTAATATATAAGTATTAAGAATGAAAATCTAGCTGTTGTGTTATACAATGAGACAAAATATTTTTGGAGCTTGGGAAATAAAAATTAATGTACTATACAAAATCAATTTTTAAAATCTATGATAGGTTTTCGAATTTAAAAAGCAAGCTTACCTCACAGAAAGAGAATCGGGTGAATTCCGGTGATCGTCTTGCGAAACATCCATCTGATGATCTGCTTAAATAACTAAAACTACCTTTGATAAAAGAAGAACTGAAAAAAAAAAACTTTCACAAAGAACCTCTTCGAACAACGCGGTAAAAGATTGCTAATATGGCTGACGATCTTGCCTGCTATTTCGCACATGCGCAGAAAGGTACGGAGGGTGGATGGATTGCCCCTTTAAAATAAGCTTCAGGGACATACACAGAGCGTCTCTTCAGTCTGAGGGAGCCACATTTGCTTCGGGAAACCTTTACTTCTTCTCCTTAGAGATTCTTTGCGCTAGCGAATACAGCACAAGCACGAGGAACAACTAACTACAACAAATCAGTTCACTTCACTTGAAAGAAAAGTACAGAGTTTAGTTGCAGCACTGCTATACATGAAAACACAAACAGTTAATATTTAATTTAAAAGTTCGTTGCATGGTTGCTGCAAAATAAAACCTGAAAAAGCAACTACTAAGAAAAAAGGAAAATAAAGAAATATTGAAAAGCCTAAATCAAGAAGTTATTAACAAAAAAAAAAAAAAAAAAAAAAAAAAAACAATGAGCGATAATAAATTTTTAGTAACTCAATATATTATTCATTAGTATTTACCAGTAGTGTCTAGTGTTTTTATCACTAGTGTGTTATTTTTAACAGTATCGAAAAAATCCACCGCAATTTAGATGACTATTAATTTTGCAGATTAATAAAGCTTTTACTGTTGATTCCGCCAGTTTACCTCTTTCTTCAAACAATTTTTTTTTATGATGCTCCATAATTGACAATATTCTTTTGCTTGCTGCCAGTGTGTATCGCATGCTTGAAAATGTATTCTGTCATTTAAATGGCACTGTGCAATGAAATGTGTTTTCTTTGAAATGACGAAATTTTGCATCCATTTTTCTTCACAATTTTTTCCAATTTCATTGACAATATCAGTTGCTTTTGTACTTTCCATAATCAACATAGCTTTGTTAAATAATCTGAGTTGCCCTTGTACAAACTATAAATAGTTCTTTCAAAACAATTTTTTATCATCTCTTAAAAATGCTCTTGTGGAATAAAATTTCAAGTATTCTGTCAATAGCTGGAAGTAGCGAAAGAAAATAGGTGTTGTTTATGTTTAAGAACGTTTTAGTCTACATATACAAATTTACAAAAATCTTTTAGTTTTAGTGACTCAAATTTATAAATAATAATCACACTAAATATGAGACACAAGTAAACTGGTAAGTCAGGGATAACTCTAGCGGAACCCCGCAGAACGGAGACGCTACTTGCAAGATGGTCATATCCTAATCAATCCAGTAGGATTCAATAGTTTTACGTTAAATTTTATACAAATATATGCGCATCACCCATTTGAATATTAATGAAGATCGGAATTCGTTAATTTTCATTTTCCTTTTAGGCAAAATATTGCCTTAAAAGCACAAAATAGTTTGAAAGATGAAAAAAAAGGACGTGCTCTCGCTTTGTTTTGTTTGATTTTTCTGCCTTATTTATTGTTAAACACAAGAACTAAATTAGTTATTAAATACAAGTTAATTATTAGCGTAGAAAATCTCTTTATTGCAGAAACGCTTATTAATTTCTTATATAAGAAAAAACAGATCTTTTTAATTTCCAGAAATGCATTAATCCATTCCAGTATAATATATAAAGAACGAAGGTTGAATTTTAAGAATTATCTTAATGTAGAAACATCTTTGTTACTATTTTATATTTTCACATAATATACCATTCATATTATAATAATTAATTATACCATTATAACATCTATTAATTATACCATTTATGAATTATACCATTATCATTTATTAATTATACCATTATGCCAATTATACCATAATTATATCATTTATGTTAATTAATTTACTGGTACTGTTGTTCAATCTAATGTATAATTTCTTTTTTATCTAGGTAATTTTTTTTTCTTTACGTTTATAAAGTGTCTTCCAATAGGAAAGCTATGGTTTTAAAATGAAATAAAACATAGCTTTTTAAGATACAACCAAATTTTTTACATTATTTTTGAAAGAAAATTTATCACATTATGTCTTGAATAAAATTTCATTTAAGCGTCCGTCTCGACTTAGTACACACGAGCGAATTCGATGAACCAAGTTTTCGATGACTGTTTATAATTATTCGAGTATAGTGTCACGAATGCAAAATTCAAAGTTTACTCTTAATACTTCAAAGGTTCATAGTTTGCTCTCACAGACCATTCATTTCAAATAACCCCATAAAAATGTAAAGGAGTTAAACTTCTGAGAGGTCAAATAACAGTTGAATTTCATAGAATTATTCCTTCATCAGCCGCCCAGACAATATACTGGTTAGGGAAGCCTACTGTGGTATACTAAAGGGTCCCGGAGAAGGCATACATGTTTGTAAATGTATAGTGTCTTTGCGGCATGGGTGCACTCTAAATATATGGCGAACCGAAAACTCTCTCGTGTGGTTTGGTGGTAGGGGAGAGGGATGGAAGACTCTCGGAGCATCCCCTGGGGTGCTCTTCCTCAAAACTGGGATGGAAATAGAAGTTCAACCTCTTTGAGGCTCTGGCAACCATTCTTCCATGAAATTCATGGACAAGACAATAACTTGTGACAAGACAATAATTTTGTCTTTTAACATACCCATTCAAGCAGAGGCGAGCTTCATCACTCTTATTAGAATACGCTTTACTTATTGACCGCTGAATTGCATACGGGGTTTTCGGGATTATCATTCAGCCTAAATCTGAACGTTTGTATGTTAACCAAATGAGATTCTTAGAATATTATTTCTTATTTATTAATTATGTAAACTGTGCATAAAATGTTTACTTGGTGTAATTGATGGTAAATTTCTTCCCTTCGAATAATTAAAAGAAATTGCCTTATTTCCAATTTTCACAATTAAAATTTTAAGTATTCTTATGCAAATAAATTTGACTAATTTTTCTGAATAATTTTGAATTATATCTTTATTTAGATATTAGATAGTTAGCTATTCCTATAGAAATAAGAAACGAATTTTTAATTAAGCTTACATTTGATACTGAAGTTCCTTTTTTGATTTACTTCGAAACTATGTAACAAAAAAAATCATTTTGCGCTAATTGGTTTCTTAACTTATGCTATTTTACAAATTGGGCACAAATTTAAGACGTAAATTTATGTATAAAATAATATTTAAAATTAATTTGCAATAATACTTTTAAGCCTCGTTTTTAATTTGATTAATTCATTTTTCTATTCCCTAAACCAAAAAATGTTCACAATAAATTTTTCTGATGTGTGTCATTTCAGTTCTCTCATTCATCTCTGTCACATGATTCTTATATATGCTAATGGTGTATGTATTTACGCAACGGAAAATGTAAAATTGAAATTTCATTAATAATAAAAAAAAACTGTAAGGTTTATGTTAATTAACATATTTTCTTGTAATTTAGAACTGTACAGTCACTTCTCCTTTTCATTAGCTCTCACCAGGATGAGAATGAAATTCTAGTATTTAAGACAAAGTTCTTGAAATTTTACGCTGAGTGAACTTTTAGTAGCAACACTGGCCGTAGTGCTTTTTCCCCTCAGCTCCGCGACTTTGCTATCCGGTGTTAGCTATTTTACTAGCCAAAATGGGCCGCGCATGTAGTGAATTTAAGATAACGCTTGCTAGGTTGTTTGCACTGTAGTCTCAAACGTAGAATTATTTTGAATTTTTAATTCCGTTAAATGATAACCTAAGAGTTGCGGGGAATTAAATTGTAAACATGAGTCTCTCTGAGCATCTGTCGCATGAGTACAGTTTAAAGTTTTAAATAAAATAAGTTGTTTAAACATTTTTAGGACTCATTTGTTATTTACATACAAGGCTTGGCTGTCATAGTGGAGACTGAGGAATCAAGTTAATTATCGAGAGCAACCTATAAAACTATATCATAAATTTTATAATGTCAAAATAAAGTATCTTCAGAAGAATTTGCGGGAGTAAATTTTTGAATATCCTTTATTTACATCTACAGAGTTTATTTATTATCAGTATTATGTAAGAAATATTTTATTTTCTTTAGCTATTACAATATTTTATTTTATTCAGCTGACTTGTATTAGTATCTCACTGATGACGAAATTGACTGGTGTAACAATAAATAAATAAAAAAAGGAGTAAGAATTTCTCAATCAAACTTTATATTATAAGTAGGTAAAGTGGGAATATGAGTCGTTCATAAGCCCATCATTTCGTTGAGACATTTTGATTTCATTAGGACATTCGTTCGTCATTTTGGTATAAAATCCTGAGTTTTTCAAATTTCAGATGTCAATTTCGCATTTAACAATAAGTTTATCTTATTGTTTTATGTATATATCTGCTTAATATTATCTTTTATATCACATTCATACATTTATGTATTTCTTTAGGGAGACGGAGGTGGACCATTAGTATGCGAGAAAGAAGGTCGCTGGTATCAAGTTGGGATTGTATCTTTCGGTATCGGATGTGGCCAACCAAATACGCCAGGAATTTACACTAGAGTAGAAAGCTACAGTAACTGGATTCACAGAGTTGTTGCCAGCGATAATAAAAATGATAACTCATCTTTCGGCGTAAGATCAACTTAAGATTATAAAAGTAACAGCAATTCATGTAAAAACACCAATTCTTTTCCTGATTCAGGAAATTTTGTGCCTTTTTTTCACAGCCATTTAAATGATTCTTCAGTTAACGTAGAACGTTTGAAACACTGAATGATTAAAGCACAAAATTTTGGTGAAATAATTTGCTAAGTGGGAACGTAGAACTAAAGAAGTTGATTTTCGATTATCAAGCAAAAATAATCTCTACTCAGAGAGAACTTTCAAAAAATGTACTATTTTTTAAATTATAATCAATGTAATGTATTTTTACTGCCAGATGTATTCAATATATGATCCCAGCCGCATCATACAGCTGAGATTAACAAGTACTAGCTAAGTTCTAAAATTGGAATAATTTAATTAGGAGTTGTTATTTTTAACGCCATGCAGTTGATGTATAACAGAAAAAGTGTGTTTCGTAATATAAAAAAATTTTAGACTACAAAAGGCAAAACATAAAATAGATTGAGACTGTTTTAGAGAACTCTGCAAATATCTTTCTGAAAGGAAGAGAAATATAAAGAGTTAAGCAGATATGTAATGATATCAGTTCTAATTTTTTTTAAGATTGCGATGGAATGTAACTACTGTCTTACATTTGATATATTTATTTATTTATTTTGTAATGAATATTTTTATACAATATTTTGATTTCCATAAACAAGTCCAATCTTGTCGTTACGTTTTACTTATTTGTACGACAAACTGGTTATTTATTTGTAATTTTTGAAATTGAGATTTAGTTTGAAATAAAGTCTTTACCTTTTCTGTTGTAACTCTTTCTATTATAACTCATGACTAAGTTGTGGTCGCCCAAACAGTTGCAATTAGAAGTCCAAACTCCTTGAGGCTCTGGCAGCCATTCTTCCATGAAATACAAGAAGACAGCAACAACAATTAAGTAGCCTCTGCTTGTGTCTAATCTTGGGTATTTATACCTCATTCTTTACTCTCCTTTTTACCTCCCATAAACCTATATACATAACTAATAGAGGTAATGTCTCGGTCTAAAATTTCGTTGGCGTATTTTCAGTGAATAAGCAACACATTTCTACTACTTTTACAATAATGTCTGTCTACCTGGGTGTCTGTATGTGTGATAACCCTTATATCAAACTACGGAAAAATTGAGTTTTCCGTATTTAAGCTTCCTGCATTCATATAAAGAGCTTACTAGATTTTGGATAAAATTGTACAGTTAGAAGTCATACTTTACATGAAGCCCACAACAGTTTTTAATGGACAGATGGAAGTGGTAGCCACTAACAACTTTTAATGAACATTAAAATATCGTCTAAAACTTTCCAGTTATAGCATTTAAGACTTTTATATCAATGGGAACAACATGTTACATTTTGGCTTAAACTGGAAGTGATACTTTACTTGAAGCTCTGAAGAGATTTTCGAGAAAAATATAGTAGGAGACAATCCAAAACTTTTCATATTTTGTATTTAAAATATATACGCGATTGGGAACAACATATAACTATTAAATGTGTTCTTGGAATTATGTCAAATGCAACGTGAATAAATTCAATGTGACATTGAGCTCTAGTTACCAAGCAATTAAATGTATTAGCCTCAATCCTCAATTCTGTATCCATTTCACTCTTGTGTCGAATCACCTTTCAAATAAAGGGACGATGTCACTCACGATAATCGTTACGTATTATTTTTTAAACAAATGATGTAGAAATAATATAAATTTAAAGAAGTAATCTAAATAGTCTAGCGAATATTTAAAAATATATGGCAACATATAACATTCTATTGGAAATTCTAACGATTTGCTTTCTTTTAAAGATTTTGCGATTTTGTTATTAAAATGTTATGTAGCTTAAGTGAAAAGAAAGAGATGAAAAGGACAAACCAAAAGTTGTCACTAGTGAAAAACAATTAACACTGTACCAGAAATTTTAAAGTTATTCTGCATTTAAAAGAAATATGATTGTTATGTCATTGATTTTTGAATACGAAACACTATATGTCCAAAGGATATAGTATGAACCATGCGATATTTTTAAATGAAAAGTATGAGAACAGATGTGTACATGAGCACGTACAGTTAGTTATATTTCCGCTGTACTGTTAATTTGAATAATAGAAGACGAGTAGTGTTTATAATTAACACTGAGCCATGAAGTTTATAAACATATAGGATTTTATTGACAAACAATAAACTAATTCCATGTTTTAAATAACAATCTGCTTAAGGTAAAGTTTGTTATTTAAAACACAGAAATGGTGGCAGGTCATGTGCTGACCATATCAAATTTTTATTTTCACAAGTTTTCACGCTTTATTTTTTAAGATCTTTTTTATTTGCGAACGTAATGACTTTTAAATTAACAAACTAAAAGATTTAAAAGTAAAGTTTTACCACAGCTCGAAGCAAAATATAGTTATCTTCATCGCTCCTGAGGATTGCCATTCGACTCAGTTACCTTTAATTGCTTTTTGGTATAACCAAAAAAAAAAAAAGAATAATTTTGTAATTTACTTTTTTTAATCAAAAGTGTGTTTCCTATTTGTTGACCAATTCAGTGTTTTCTATGCAGTAAAACGTTTGTTGAAATAAAATACAATGAATGTAAAATGTTCATGTCTTATTTGTAATACAATGAACAGTATGTGCTCAGCTGTCATAAAATCTTTCCCTCACACTGGTAGACACTTGCTAGTTGAGGAATCATCAGGAATAGTCAAAGTCATGGCTCATTTAAGTGTCTCTTCATCAAGAATGTTTCCAAGCGGGCACTACTTGCGGCGATTTAGTTACTCCTTCGAGAAAAGGAATATGGCGTATGATGGGGAAATATCCCACGAGATGGATCTGGGGGTATGCCACTTCTTACCCCTCTTTCCTCATCACTAACCTCTCAAGAGAAATTTGGGATCAGCATTACTTTTAGTGCCCCCTTGTCGCAAAGACACTATGTACTTAAAAATAGCCAAGCCTTCTTCCGGAATTCGAACCTAGATCCAAGGCCTTTATCTTACCATCCAAGAACCTCTTTCTTACCATCATGGTAATAGGGCGGCCAACAAACCTAGTTATCTGAATAGGATTGGATTTATTTGATTATGACAAAGCACACCAAGGCTATTTGTTTAAAAGTAGATACGCCATAGAAAAGAAATTTATACAGAAAAATTGTTCGTATTCACATTAAACATGAGATAAATCGTCAAAACACACGCAACCAGTCCCGTCTCCAGTATTTGAACTTTTCGATTTCATTATCCGGATTTTCCGAATACTGTTTTAAGGGTTATTCTTCTAAATAGTTCGAATACTTGGAACTATAATATTTACTTCATTTTATATAATACATATTTTGTAGCATTTAACGCTTTAGTATTTGTATATAATTTTTAGAAATTATTATTTAGTTATATAACAATTAGATTTTATTTTCGTGATTTAAACATTTAAATAAGTGATATAGAATGCTATGCAGTAAGATAATACATTAAGGTTAGATAAACATTATTTTTTTATTAGGAAAAACGTTGTATTACTGAGTGGAAGTTTTTTAAAAGAATCTTTGAAATATAAAAATTAGGGGAAGCTGTTAATTAATTCATTATGCATTATAGTTTCAAAAATAAGAAGGATTCGGTTTCTATTTAGTAGCAATATAACAACAGTTTATTCTAGACATTTCCAATAAAGGTGGAAAAAGCTAATAAGATACCAAAGGAATTCATAACAGATACAATAATAATAATAATATAGATGACAAGTGAAATACAGCCGTATTTTCATACGCCGATTTATCGAAGTAAATATTTTATAAAATTGAAATAATAAAATTTACAACAGCTAATATAAATTGAACTATAATTTAGAAATTATTAAAATAAACAGGTACTTTTCATTAAGTGTCATTCAGAGAACTGTTCTGTAGTTGATCAATCTCATTGATCAAAGCAGTAGATGACAAATTAAAACTAGATTTTTTTTACAGTTCTAATTTTCATAGAGATTAAAGAATGGTATTTTTAGAAAGATAAAAGTGAAGAGAATTTGAAAATGCAAAAATCCGAAATCACAATTTTTTGAAGATTTTGGGGTTCCAACACCCCTTAAAAACAAATCCTTGCAATAATAATGATATAGTAAAAAAAGGGAAGAGGAAGGAGATACAGATTCATATAATAAACTTTATCTCAAGGAACTATTATGAACTGTTATAGATTATGACTGTTAGCCTACTATTATTATACCTATTATAACTACTATAATTATATCTAATAGATATGATATCAATCAAAATGTCGATATACTATTTATACTATTATATTATGTGTTATATCATCATACGCCATATTCCGTTTGTAAATGCTTAGTAATATTTTGTAAAAATTAATTGAATTCTCGACACTGCTCAATTGAAATTTTAGAGAATTTCTAAATGTTCGTTCTGCTTTCTGAATTTAAATGACATTTTCCTTCAGAGCAATCATACCTTTAGTTTAAACTTCATGTTCTTCCATTCTTCTACAGCAAGGGCGATACAATTAAATGCACACGCTTTCATTTCTTTACAAGAAAACGCCTTCTTTTACAACTACTTACTCTGCAGGAAGAGAGAAAGCAAGATCGTTCAAGCGCATCGTTACTGCAACTTATTTTACGGTGTGCTGTCTCAGCCATTTTCATCAGTTCTGTTTCATTCATTTAGAATAACTATATCTCTTCTCATGCGAAAAATGAGAACAGAAATGCAGAACAAAAGTACGAGAAGTTTATTGTTCTTCATAAATATTATGAAGAAATAACAAATATTTTCGAAACTTCATTAACGAGCTAAAAGTAGTCATTTTATCGATTGCGTGAAGACCATATTTATAAAGGAATCTAGTGTTTATAACTTGAGGGCGCGGAGTGTTTGTAAAGAGCATTTAACTTCTGGATATAGAGAAATACAATTAAGCTGCTTTACAGAGACATTAAATAGTACATAGTATAATATAACACATAATATAATAGTATAAATAGTATATCGACATTTTGATTGATATCATATCTATTAGATATAATTATAGTAGTTATAATAGGTATAATAATAGTAGGCTAACAGTCATAATCTATAACAGTTCATAATAGTTCCTTGAGATAAAGTTTATTATATGAATCTGTATCTCCTTCCTCTTCCCTTTTTTTACTATATCATTATTATTGCAAGGATTTGTTTTTAAGGGGTGTTGGAACCCCAAAATCTTCAAAAAATTGTGATTTCGGATTTTTGCATTTTCAAATTCTCTTCACTTTTATCTTTCTAAAAATACCATTCTTTAATCTCTATGAAAATTAGAACTGTAAAAAAATCTAGTTTTAATTTGTCATCTACTGCTTTGATCAATGAGATTTTTTACATAAAAACGCGTTTTTCTCCAAACGTGATTTTTTTGTACTCGATGTACCTTTTCTAAGGAACTACTGCTCGCAGGTATCTAAACATTTTATGGCTTATTTATTAGGTTCCCTAATATTTACTAAAATAAGCTTTTTGTAATAAACATTTAAAAAAAAATTAAAAATTTTTTTGTGTGAGAAAAGTGCTAAATTTTACTATGCCTAACAAAATATTCTGTAATTTAATCTAAAATTCAAAATGTTTCAAAAGCTCATTTCAGTATAATCAGATAGGTATACTTTAATTACAGAAAAAATTTCAAGCTTGTATCTACAGCAGATTTTGAGAAAAGGTACATTGAAAATGGCCAATTTAACATTGTCGGTATAGGGGTTTCTGATACCC